TGTTGTAAGAAGTTAAGTTAAAAAATTTGAATTTTCATGTCTTGGTGAGTTCACGTGTAGCTGTGACAAGCAAAACAGCAGATCTATTATTTCATGTCACATCAGATTTCGATAAATTGGATTTTTCTTTATAGATACTTTTCGGGTGATACAATTATTATTTGATAATGCTAATAAGCTCCAGATACATATAGTGGAATAAAATTACGAATGACAAAGAGTTGCAACGGCAATGAGAGGATTTTTTCGACGAATTACAAGGCCACGGAGTCCAGTGGTGTCCAAGTTTTCCCCTTTTGCTCCATCAGGAAGTTTCCAATCAAACTTTTGCATTAGATTTGCTAACACAAGTTCAATTAATACCTTGGCAAAACCAATCCCTGGGCAGATTCTCCGGCCAATGCCAAATGGAATATATTGGAGATGGAGTCCATTAAAGTCTATCGATGAATTCAAGAATCTCTCTGGCTCAAAATTTTCTGGTTCATCCCAAAATGCAGGGTCCCAACCAATTGCAAGCGCATTTACCAGGACCATTGTCCCAGCAGCAATATCATATCCCATTATTTTTGCATCCCTACCTGCTTCTCGGGGAATCAATGGGACTGGAGGATGATAACGTAGAGTTTCCTTTATCACAGCTTTCAAATATTGCATTTTCTCCAGGTCATCAAGTGTTATGTCTTGTTTTCCATGAAGAATCCCTCTCACTTCATTTTGTAGTTTCTTCATTACGGTGGGGTGTCTTAAGAGCTCTGTCATTGCCCATTCTAGAACTGCTGATGAAGTTTCAGTTCCAGCACCAAACACATCCTGAGAAAGTCCGAAAACACAAAACAATAATGAGCTTACTAGAAATAATATATAGTCAATTGCAAAAGTTCTAGAGCACCTCTGTCAGAAANGTCCGAAAACACAAAACAATAATGAGCTTACTAGAAATAATATATAGTCAATTGCAAAAGTTCTAGAGCACCTCTGTCAGAAACAAGAACATTCTCCAGTAGCCATGTATGTCATGTATATTCTTTCAATCTCACAAAAGTTAAAATAATCTCACCTTAATCATTGCCTTGATACCATCTATGTCAATGGATGCTCCCGCAATATTATCTTTGTGGATGACGTAGCAGAAATATTATAGGGAAGATGAACAATCACAAATTGAGAAAACTCTCAAGGAAGATTTTATTGAATTCAAGAACTACTGCCTCTAAGGGTTTACAACTGATTAAATAGAAAAAACCTAGAAAAATCCGAAAAATGAAATAAAATAAAATAAAGATATTTTTTTCCAAAAATGGAAAATATGAGATAATTACTAAAATGGAAAATACTTATCTTCGGGGTTTTCCCACGATGATGGGTCTCTTCCAATTGCCCAAGCATTGACAATCACTTGTGTGCCTGCGGCAATGTCATAGCCCATGAGTTTAACGGATTGGGTAGATTCTCGAGGAACCAACAACGGAATAGGAGTATGAAGACGCAGAGACTCTTTAATCACTGCTCTCAAATACTGCATTTTCTCCAAATCATATTCGGTTATCTCCAACTTCCTTCCAGCTACTTGTCTAGCCTCATTTTGCAATCTTTCCAAGATTGCTGGATGCCTTAAAAGCTCCGCCATTGTCCATTCCAACATAGAATATGTTGTATCGCTTCCAGCAGCGAATACGTCCTGTCAAATTAAAAGATGCACGAAAAGGTCCATATTAATGATAAGGTCATGTTCGTATATGTAAATCACTAAAATAAGAGAAACAAGTTATTTTGGTAACTTCTCCAAATTCTAAGTCCGTGTGAGGGGAGTGACGAGACAGGATTTATAAAACTGACTCCAAGTTTATTGGGGGGAAAAAAGAAGACAAATTTACTCTCCTTGATAGAGTGAGACTCTTACGAGGATGAGAGCTTTGATCACATCAGTTTCCAGTTGAAAACCATCCCCGTTTTCGCTCTGAACTTCAAGCAATATGTCCACAAAATCTGGTCCAGTTTCATCAGTATTGCCATCATGCTTTCTCTCTCCTTTCTTTCTATCCCTGTGTTCTTCAACTACCCCCTCCAAAAATTCATCAAACACTTTAGCCACTTTTTCCACTTTGGCATTCAAACCGTTGAATTTACTAATCCAGGCAAGACATGGAATGTAATCCCCTACACAGAAAGTACCCAGTAAGCCCACAAAATCCCTCAACAATGACTTGAATTTTTTCCCTTCTTCTCCCACACCATATTTCCTCCCCAATGCCGCCCTGCACACTATA